TGAGAGTTTTTTCACAGACTGTTCTGGGATGGCACAGTAAGGTGCAAAGACTGGAGACGGCCCCATCCTTATAGGTTTCCTGGTACCCTTGTCCTGCACTTTGTGGTAAGTAGCTGGCCTGTGGCTTGGGGGATGCTGGTGCTGAGGCTGTCTGGAAGGACAGGACCACTGTATGACTAGTGGTTCCGCCCCATGTGAGAGCACAAGAGAGGGAGAGATTTCAAAATCGTTATTGTGGTGACTGAATTGATCCAAAAAGGCAATGCAGATTAAATCAATATTTAATTCAGAAGAAGTCAGTTTCAGTTAGGAAGTCAGGGGAAAGTTTTAAAGAGCAGACAGGGCAGGATGTAAGAACTTGAGAGGTATATTATTACCCCCTTTAGTGGCAAGCAAGGATTGCTGCAGTTTGGCATGAACAATTATTTTTTAAAAAGTGAATACTAAATAAAAATGTATACAGTATTTACCTGCCTATGGTGGCAAGCTTCATATAAAAGCACACATGCTATGCTCTTCATAGTCACAGTCAGGGGAATGTCTCCACACTATCCCAGGGTATGTTCACTCAGCTGAGTTTATTAATATAAAAAAGCTTCCTAGGTGAGGATGATGGTATGTCATCATGCAGGTGAAAGGACAATAGCAATAACCAACTGGAAGTGAATCACTGTACTGGAAGATTTGCACACAGCCTTTTTCACAGACATTCCATCACAAAACTATGCTTTTATTGACATGAGATCCAGAACATCCCTGTGAACTAATCCTATCAGATAGAGGGACAGAATTCCTTGTGCAACAATCTATCAGAAAGAGCACAAAAACGCAAAGCAAGACAGATACATGGGTCGCCATGACCCAGGAGACTGGTTCATCTAGGAGAAAATGACTTATTTGCCCCCAGTGAATCAGCACTTAGTTCAGTATAAGAAATTTGGGAATATAGTCCCAGGTCTTCTGTAACCAGGATTTCTTATCAGAAGAAAGACAAGCTGTCAACATACAGGTAATGAAAAGTAAAAGATAAATAAGAACTGCATCCACTTTATATGTCTTTAATGTACTTTGATTTGCTTTTGTTAAATCTTGAAAATTGCTATCTGTGCTTTATTATTTTCCTATCCAGAAACCATCTATTTGGTCCAATTTACCTTCAGTAAGGGGAGAAAGTTGTTACACTTCTTTTATTAAGTGCTTGTCCATTTCTATTAACTGCTTCCAAACTGATGGTATAGTGGATTCTAGGTGTGATACTAGAATTTAGGAACATCTATATCATAACGGTTAAGCTACACAAAGGAAAGCTGCCTTTGTTAAAGATTCTCTTTGGGACACTTGGCCACTAAGCCACATCCCCAGCCCTATTTGGTATTTTATTTAGAGACAGGGTCTCATTGAATTGCTTAGCACCTCGCTTTTTCTGAGGCTGGCTTTGTGAACTCACGATCCTCCTGCCTCAGCCTCTGGAGCTGCTGGGATCTTTAAAGATTCTTCGTAAGACTTGAAAGTGGCTCCTACTTAATGTGGAGATATGAATTCTTGGATAGAGCTTATAACATGGGGAAGCAGACTCTCCCACTTTTGCTCATTCTGGAAAAGTGTGAGGATAGCAAGATATAAAAATTATAAACAAGATATTTGCACTCTCTTTTCTAATACTAATGCTTTAAAACTTGCTGTGTATTTTTCACTTACAGCACATTTCAGTTTGGGTATAAAATTTTCATCTGAAATAACTGATTTGGTTTTAACGTTGTAAAATTTGCAGCTGAAAGAATAGATTTGCATACCCAAGTTATTTCAGATACACCTGCAAGCTTTCCAATAAATAAACTATTGTTATAAATTTTAAATAAAATAAAATTACAGTGCCTCAGTGGCCACATTTCATGTGTTCAGTAGCCATACATGGTAGTGGCTACCAGATAAACCTCCACTCTGTACATTTGGTCAGTCCCAGTAAGAATTCCCCAGGTGAGGAAAGACTGTCCCCAGTCCACTCAGGAAGAAAACCCACCAACTCCTAAGGATGTGCTCTTCTGACAAGGGAGTACCCCTTGCAGGGTCACCTTCAGTCTATTCAAATTATCTTCTCAGACTCCAAACTAACAAAAATATAAAAATCTGTTGTAAAAGAAAGCTCAACAAGCTAAAGGTCAAACTCTAGGGATTTTAAAACTGTGGACATTTTTTTGAGCCCAATTCTCTGCCTCCTTTCTTGAGTCCAAATTTACAAGCACATTTATTGAGATTCACTAGGTGTTAGTTTCCTGTGCCTTACTCTCCATACATCATTGACTCTCCTAGCAAGCCTGTGAAGTAGGTGAAAGCCAGAGAGGGTATCAATAACTTGTTCAAGGTCACACACCTAATTATGGGGGTAGAACAGGAGTTTAAGCTCAGAAAGTCTGACTAGGTTTTTTATTTTTAAAAAAAAAAAAAAAAAAAAAAAAAAAAAAAAAAAAAAAAAAAAAAAAAAAAAAAAAAAAAAAAAAAAAAAAAAAAAAAAAGCCTGGCAGTACTGCCAGTATAAGTTCCCTTAAACTAACCACACACCCAAACTCCCATTTTTCAAAACCTTCCTACAATTTTCACTGAGCAGGCAGGCAGAACAGAGCAGGTATTGCCCTGCCATTTTTCCAAATGAGGCACAGGAGGGGAGATGTTTGCCCTACAAGGCATGATGATGAGTGCCTGGAAGAGCAGTTTCTCAGACTTTCTATCCAGTAACCTCTCCATCAGACCCATGTTAGGGAGCCAACCAGGGGAGACTTGTTGACTATCTAACACTATATACTGTCCCTCTTACCTCAATCAATCTTCCAAACCACCCAAGAAGGAAGAGATCATCCACAGGTAAAGAGATCTGGAGTGCCATGGAGTACAGACAACTGACACCACACAGCCAGCTGAGATCCCAGGCCAAGTGTGTGTCCAATAGAGGGGGATGCCTCCCTAGGATTGCCAGATGTCAAGGGTTTCCTTAAACTGCAATCCAGAGGACACTTCCATCATATTAATGCAATGTAAATAATAGGAAATTGTCTGTAATTCAGATGCCATTAATGCAGAATGTAAGAACAAGAGTGCCTGTCTGACCTGATAATAAAGTCTGTATAGGATAAATTCACAACTTAAAACATAACAATACAAGAAACAGAAGAAGCTGGTTTTATAATTCTTCAGAGAGAAGGACTTAAGGGAGATTGTGACTTGGCTGCTGAAGGTGCTGCAAAATGTAAGGACTTTTCTCCAGAGCAGGGTCAAACAGGGTGACCACCTAGGATGGGCAGACTCGACCATCGCCAGCATACATGCGGAACACAGGTTCACTTAACTTGGGTGCCCAAGTTAAGAAAACAGGCAACGTGGCTGTTAGTCCTATTCCCAGCCAAGTGACAGTGCCTCTGAATGAAAATACACTCATTCCCCTCAGCACAAACCTGTCTCTGTTGAGAATATCTGTACTCATGGAACAATGTGAGCAAAAAATGTGCTGACAGGCACCTGGAAATTCTGGAGCTAAACAATGCATGGCAAAGTCATGGCTGGCCAAATTTTAAACAGGTTTATGAATACTTGGTTCAAAAAAAATCACATGTAAAAAAATTCCCTTATTTTTAACATACAGGAAAAGAGGTGCATTGTTATTGATAATCTTTAGTAATAGGAAACCAGCTTCTCCCATCCTCACTAAATAAATATAAAGGAGATATTTAAAGATCATCAGTTGGATATAGTACCAACGATTAGCCTGCTCAGGACATCACTGGTCTCAGATCAGCCCTCATCTTCCTATGAGAATGAATTCGGCTCTAACCATTTTATAACTCACAAAAGTTTACAGATTGCATTAAAAAAAATAAAAAATAAGTCCCAAGCTTCCTAACCTAACAATCCTAGTTTTTAGAACATTGTAGTAACACTCGAGAAATCAATAACCCAAAACGTGACAAAACAGCACATTTTCCTTCCCCAAAATCAGTAAGTCAAAAAGATGGCCTTTCTACAAAGGAGAGATGACTCTGTGTAAAATCCTCTGCACAGCTGCTGGCCCTCCTGGAGAGGTGCTTTTTTTTTTTTTTTTTAACCTAATCAGACTTTCTGGGCTTACATTCCTGCTCTACCCCTATAATTAGGTGTGTGACCTTGAACAAGTTATTGACACCCTCTCTGGCTTTCACCTACTTCACAGGGTTGCTAGGAGAGTCAATGATGTAAGGAGAGTAGGGCACAGGAAACAGTTGGTTCAGAATCCACACATATCCGGGGTCCTTTGACTTAAACTCATCCCCATGGGTGAACGAGGTCTCCAGAGTCCCTGGTTGAACAGGCTTTTGAGAAACAGACCTGGATCACATTCTTTAGGGACAATTATTTAACTACCCATTGTCTTGATTTGCACTAAAGAATATATATAGCCAGATGATTACTCAACCCTTATTACTAGTGTTTTCCAAAAGCAACTTATAAATTAAAATCTATTCAGTTAATACAAAACACCTCGTGGTTAACTTTTTCTAACTTTCATTTTGGCAATCCTTCTGCATGAAAACTATCAACAAGTAATAAAATTGGGTAATTTGAACTGGCTTTTCCTACTTCCCCTTTCTGAGAAATATGATAACCCATGGTAAAACGGTCCCAGAAGAAGTTCAAAAGGAAAGACAACTTAAATTCCACGAAGGCCATTTTTGAGAGCTCTGAAACCTCTTCTTCGTAAATGGTGACAAAACAATGTCAGAATTGAAGCACAGAAATTATAGCATTAAATTCAATACTATATTCAATACCATTCATGAAACTTCACTGGGTCCTTTATAGCCCTGATGCATGCACATGCAAAAGGAGTTTCTAACCTAAATATATGAGTGCTTATCACATAGGGTCCAAAAATTTGAAACTTGGCATCTTTCTCAAGTAGGAAGTTGCCACCCACCTAGAAAGTGTTTCCAAACAATCACCAACAATGAGGATGTCTGATTTTAAGTACTTACGTATTTATAGTTTTGCAGGAATACAGGGAGGTCTCAATGAACAACTTCAGAAAAATGCCACCTAGAGGAAAAAATGAATGAAAGGTTAATTTTAAAAAAAGAAAACACACACAAAAACAACTTACCATGCAGTTTTATGTTTATTAAAATAAAATATGTGATGTTTCTTCAAATATTGGTTCTCACACTAATAGTTCAATTTGCCTTAGAATATAGCCACTGCTTTCTGGGTACAGTGAGGAACTAAAATGCAAGGAAAGAAAAAACAAAGAGAAAACTGAAAAAATCCCAAAATATCTCTTCAGCAGTGCTTTGAAATTTTAAAAATAAATAGAACAAATTTCTGATATAAGATACTATAGTTAGTATTTGTTGAAAATTTATTATACATCTTGGACTGTTTTAGGTTTCACAATACAACCTTTCCAGACAAGCACTGTGTCCACTGACAGATGAGGACCTTCCCCAATATCACAAAGATCCAAGGTTTCTGAATCATGCCCTTTCTCTCCTAACACATGGTATTGCTCAAGTGCACTTTCTACTTTATCAAGTGTAAGCCATTACCTCCCCAAATACCCACATGCACATTTTCTATAATCAAACTTTCAAATGGTGCCGACAATGAAAATAAGTTAATATCAAGCTATAAGTAACCACATTTTTTCCTGATAGATTAGCATTGGTGCTACTGATATTAAACTAACTGTTCCTGAGGTTGAGAAGCACACTACATGGCTCAAAGGCTCCTCAATCTAAAGAAATCATAACACTTTTGAAATAACTTGAAGACATTGCACAAAAGTCACTGGGTTTCACTTTCTCAAAAATAAAAAATAAATACCTAAAAAATATGAATTCTGAACACATAAAATCCTTTGTTACAATAGCTCAGAGAAACTATAATTTTTTTTCTAAAATGGTTCTTTGCTGGCTAAATTCTAAGCATTTCCCACAATTTCATGACCAATATTATTTTATATGGACATGGCTTCTGTGAAATCACTAGGATTATTATGAATGGGTCTGTTATAAATGGAGTTCTTGATCAACATTTCATTGCTCCCAAAATGAGTCACAGAAATTCTTGAATCTTACTACTGTTCAAAATCAAAGATAACATTTAAAAGAATTGTTTTTTTCTTTGTACACACATCATGAGCAAAGCTCCCGACAAAGATTTCAAAACCCTAGCAATAACAAAGAAGGCAGGGTGGCATACTGATTCCTACCTAAAGTTTTCCAAACTCATATGGATGTTAAAAGCATTTCCTAGAATAAATAAATTTGACCCACAAGCTCTGAAGAAAAAAGACATTTAGAAATAAGTTCTTTGTATCATGATTAAGCTTTTTTGACAAAGAAGTCAAATCTTGTGACACTATCACAGCAATATGAAAGATTAAACCAGCCAGTTCTTTTACTGAATTTGGTTGGCAAATAGTGTGTTATTTTTATATTCTTTAAAAAATATGCCATTTCTGGGCTTGGGGCTGTAGCTCAGTGGCAGAGCACTTGCCTAGCACGAGTGAGGCACTGGGCTCGATCTTCAGCACCACATAAAGATAAACAAATAAATAAAATAAAGGCATTCTGTCTGTCTACAACTACAACTTAAAAAATAATATGCCATTTGCAGTATGGAGATTCCTCAAAAAAAAAATAGGGATGGAATCATCATATGACCCAGCTATCCCATTCCTTGGTATTTTCCTCAAAGATTTAAAATTTCTATACTATAGCAATACTGCCACCTTAATGTTTATAGCAGCACAGTTCACAACAGCTAAATTATACATGCCACAATTTCTTAATCCATTCATCTATTGACAGGCATCTGGGTTGATTTCATTAAACACACACAGAGACACATATATAAACACTATACACACACACACATGTACACACACACAAAAATATATACATAAATATGTATATATATAAATACACACACACTGGAGTTCTACTCCACCATAAAAAAGAATGAAATCATGTCATTTGCCTGGAAATGGAGAATACCACGCTAGGTGAAAATAAGCCAAACTCAGAAACTCAAAAGGTTGAATGTTTTAGTAAAACAAAGGAAAGGGGGGAAAAAAGATAGGATATAATTAAGGTAAAGGGAAGACCAGTAATGTAGAAGGAGATGGAGCAGCAGAGTGGAGGGATGTGTAATGGGAGGCAATGCAGAATAAATTCTTAAAAAATCGTGTTCTATGCATATGTAAATATACCACAGAGAACTTCACCTTCATGCATAAGGAAAAAGAACCAATCAAATATAAATAAATAGTTGAGCATAAGAAAGTCTAGTAGAGCAGAGGAAGGAGAACAGAGGAGGGAGGAAAAGGGAGGATCATGAAATTGAATTCCATGCATGTATGAGTTTGATGGGATAAACTCACAAAAACCCTAAGGTGGGTAACTAGTATTATCCCCATCTTAAAGATAAAGAAGCAGGCACCGAGATGTTTAAAGAACTCTCCAAAAATTACAAGACTCAGAAGAAGTAGTTAAGATCCAATTCACACACATGATCACACTTAATCCTAATAATGATAAAATGCAGGCAGGGGGAGAGATTTTTAGTTTCATTTTAAATTTGAGGAAAACTGTAATTCTGAGGAGTTCAGACTGACTTCTGCAAAGTCACACTGCAATTCAGGAACAAAGGTCAAGAACAGAACCTGGCACATCTCACTTCAAGTCTAGTATTGCTTTTATATTTATGGATTTGGGGGTTAGATTCTATATGTAACTCAAGAGTGTGTGGTATCTTTAATCTCTGAGAAGACACTTCTGAATTGTCTTGACACGTTGAAGCAACTACAAGAACATTAAGTATAGCTCACACTGAGTTACTAACGTTGCCATGTCGCTATTTCCCATTTTTCATGAAATTATGTTTTTTTCACTTAATGGTTATCAAATATACAGGTTTATATAGAAATTGGAAATATTGGTCCTCATTTATTATTGTTTCACCTTCATTTTTGTATGTTATTGCTCTGTGTTGCCATTTAAATTATTTATAGCCCAATAAATGCAGGCATTGTTTATTCCAGCAAGCTTCTAAGTAAAATTAAAACCACTGTGTTTCTGCACATTAAGGAGTTAATAAGTTTTTACATCCCATTCATCTCCATTTGGGTTGCATGCCCTCCTGTTCCACTTCCGGAGACCAGGGGAAGAAACAATAGCTGCCTTTTGAGCCTAAGCACAGCACCCATGTGACAGGCACTGGCACTTATTTATTGAATTGAGTTGTGGAAAAACAGGAAGCAGAGTTGTAAGACCCCTTTCTCAGTTACAAATTTCCAAGACTTGAAATGTCCCAATTTGAATCGTTTCATGTTACTCAGTAAAACCAGAACCAAGGAATGAAAATGACTTTGGAAGTTACAAGGGTAAATCTCAGCCTAATGAAAAAAGAATATTGTAATAAACAGAGTTGTCCCCACAGTGGTCCAGAAGTCTCAGTAACTGTACTCAAACAGGAAGAATGCTTTCCTGAACCCAACGTGGCTCCCTACATCCATCCATGGCAAGCATGGGAGTTCCATGGAAGAGCACAGTGTGTTATGTGGCACTTTTCAATTCATTTCTCAGTAGAACCCACTATGAGTAGAAAGTGGATGGAGCATGGGTGGGGACAGATATCATTATTATTCCCATTTTGGGGGGTTAGAAATTTAAGCAACTTAGGCTGAATCACACAACTAGTAAAAGTAAGAAGTCGGGCCTCAATCCAGGACTTCTGACTCTAAAGGTCAGTGCATTTCCAGCGAGGCTGTTTACCCAACAACCAAGAAATTATAACTTCAACCATTATATTTACTCAGTATGGACAGAGGCAGGGATGGGCCCCCATGAAACAAAGCATGGGGGTGAAGAGCAAAGGATATCGGCTAACAGCAAAATATCTAAACTCACCAAGAAGAGCCATTTATATTTTTGGTAGGAAAGTTCTCTGAGGCTCTGTTCACATGGGTCAACTAAAAGAATGATTATCCAAATCCTACTTTAGTGTGCTTTGTCGATACAATAAACGTTTGGGGAAGTTAGTCCACATTTTAAGGGCAGTTGGAGGCAATTCAATAAACATAAAAAAGCAGTGGCTCGCTTCTGCACCCAAAGCATAAATTATGCCTTAAAGATTAGGCTGGTAAATAGTAAAGGAAAAAGGAAGGGGGTGGGGGTCACTTGAAATACATTCCCTGGCAACTCTTCCAGGACAATCTCACACTTGAATCTGACAACAGGAGTTTAACACAAATGGGTCAACCATTGAATGATTGCTGAAGCTTGCAAGATTTTCAAGGAAAGACATAAAGGTGTCGAATTTCATGAACCTGTCTACCAAGCACAGAAAGTGGCAGGTTGCCAAAGGCTGGACGGTGTTCACTCATGTGAGATGCTGGGAACTTGAACCTCTACAATGCCTGTCTTCCCACTTAACCACAGTGGTGAATGATTCATTTCAACTTTCCAAAGACCTCATAAACTCTAAGTCAGATGCTGCTAATCATAAAAACTTCCTTTTACTCAATACTCTGTGATGCAACATTACAGAATTGACATGAAGCCGTCAGAGAATACGTTTTAAATGTAGTATCTGGGTGCAAGAGAAGAGCCGATAGATATGCCAACAAGTCAGATTTAATTACGCTGCATTTCAGTGTGCCAGGTTTGTGCATCAAAATGTTACTATTGTTATTTACATACAGCTGGTACCATGTTCATACACATAAGTGTTACCCCTTTCCCAATATCTAGTTATAAATCTAAGAAATTACAGGCTCCTTGAGAACAAAAGTAATTCTAGCTTACTCCTCTCTACTTCAGTCTCTTGCCCATAATAGTGTGGAGCACAGGACACAGAGGTCAGAAAAGTATACTGAATAAACTACAGGTGATCACAGTAAGAACATTCCCTACAGAATGGCAGAAAAGGCAGACTATGGGAACAAGAGAAATACTGGATTAATAGGAATGGAGAAGATCATTCAGCAAAGATGACAGCGGGAATTCCAAATAAGAAGAAAGCACAGGAGGTAGACA